TTAGTGTTATTCAGACTTGATGGGGTTGTCCTGTCAGGAGTCTTGCTACTACATTTTCTGTAGCTGAGTAGCTGTAGCTTCTCTTGTTATCCCATTGTTACATGAGCTGTGCTGGCTTCCAGGTGCTCTCCAGGAACAATTCAAGATGCTTGTAATAACAGCCCTAATGGCACAAGACCAGGTTGTTTGCTAAGCTGCCTCTTTCTAATTATATCTACTGTTCTGGGTCAGATAGGGTGGGTATAATCCAAGTCCCCTCCTTTAAATGCTGGCAACTTTGGGGACTTTAGAGATGTACCTGTCTATGTTGCCCCAGACCTCTTGAGATTCAAGGGAACCTTACCTTTTTAGATAGCTGTGAAGCCCTGGCTTTTTCCCCAAGTGTTGGTCTAGAAAGGGGATTGTGTCAGGAGGCTAATTGGTCAGATGCCCAGTGGGAAGAGTAGTTTTGTTTTTATTGTTTTTACTGATTGCTGTGAGCCACTTAGAGTCATTGTGTGAGACAGGCAGTCATATAAGCCAATGTTTGCCAGAGGAACCCTGGTCACAGCTTCCATATTCTTTTTAAACAGGACCTGAGAATCCAGAAGAAGTCACAAGTTACAAATTAGCTTCTTTGGGGGAGTGTGACTTCCATCCAGAATTATTATTAATGCTGCTGATATCTATTGACAAGCTGCTTTGTCAAGGAATGGTTTAATCTGGACTTGTTTTACTATCTATGCTGTCACAGTCTTTGGATACCAATTCAGAACGTCAGAAACTTCTTGGCACAGCATAGTAATAATAACATCATCTCGAACCATGTTAGCTTGAACCACAGAATGACTCACTTCATTCATGTACAGATTAAATAATTTGGAGGGAAATCTAGAGGAACTTCATACTTTAAGGACTTAATCACAAGGTATTAGGATATGATTGCATGACTCATTTGAAGTATCCACTAAGGTGGAAGCAGAAACACCATGAAACAATACTACCAACTCCCTTTTTCCTGCAGGTAGCTTAGGGGGATATTATAGTTGATGTTAGTGGACATGATAAAGACATCTAATAAGATCAAAAGGGATATGTTGTCCCATATCAAGGTCCTAGGAGAGATAACCAACTAGAACATTCAGTATTGTTTCCATTCCTTAACTAGTCCTGACTAAAAAGGATCTAATAATCAATTTCAATTAGAATCCTCTGCAGTGTTATTGATTTTTCCACCCTCTTCTTGACCAGTTTGCAAGGAAAAGAGTTTAAGGCCTAGGAGAAAGTTGTAAAAAGAAAAGAAAAAAGAAAAAGCAGTCCTTTGCAGAATATTTTTTCATGGCCAGAGTTTATATTATTATGTAACTACATTTGGATGTTTTTATCTACTTTGCTGCACAGTGTCAACTGGTGGAAGAAAACATTTGTCCTGAGAGAAACATTCTTAATGCGAATGTCTTTATTGTTAAGAATGGTCAAGAAGCACCATTTTTGGACAGTACTGTTGTGCTCATGACATCTCATTGGATTTAAACTTCTCTGGATTATTTGGCTTCCTTAAACAAGGGGTCTACCTTTTGTAGCATTTGAAATTGTGAATCGTTATGCTATCAAAATCAAACTGAATGATAATCCAATTATAGTCAATTCCATAGTTAAAATGCTTCGTAGTTCAGCACATACAGTATGTCTGGAGTTAAATACAAGACTATTATTTCAGTCTCTCAGCAACAGATATATAGCCATTTCCTTCCTTTTGTGAAAGAAGCATATTTCTGAGATATATAGGATATGCACATTTTCCATATATAAAACCTGTTAGGCAGTACTTCAGCAGACTGCATTTGCTTGCAAAGTACCCATAGCCTAATACTTCATCTTTCCATCCTTCTGCATAATTTATCCATAGACCAATTATGTGAGAACCCATTCATAATAAATCCATAAAAATAAAAGTCTGAACTAGGCTGCAATCCGATATACTCTTCTAGGTGGAAGAAAGCCCTAATAAATTCATTAGCACTAAGCTGTACTTTTCTTTCAATCTTCCTTTTTATGTACCAAATCATGTATGACGTGGTTTTTGAGCTGCATGTCATTCGCCAAGATCTCCTATCAGAAATTCTAATTTCATTATTGCTAAGGAAAACCCAACCCCAAGTAGGGTAGAAGGAAAAGGGCTATTATGATAGGTTTACAGAATGATTGCTAAGATAGAATTGATTTTTTTTGAAACTAGCAATAAAAATCTATTACATAATGAGAACCGGATAAAATGAATTTATAATTATTATTCTTTGACTCAGAATAATTGCCGTGCAATATATTCCATAATGATTCACCAGAAACAAATGTGACTCTTATTTTCAGCAGTGACAAACTCCCATCTGAAGTCAGTGGAAGCTTTTACTTCACTGAAAACAGGATTTAAACATTATTTCACTTCCTCCTCCTTATCGACTTAGCATTGATGAAAGCTGAAACATATTGTTTCACACAGTAAACTTGGCTTCAAACTGAATTGAAAAATGCTTGCAATAATTGGCAAGATTTCGATAACAACCGGAAAGACAGAGCCAAACCAGAACAATTCAGAACAAAAGAAAAGAAAGAACATTTAAGCTGCTTTCAAGTATAACTGATAGCTCTCAAATCATAAGAGCCAATATGTTCCCTGAGAATTATGCATATTGTTAGAGAATTATGCATATTGTTAGACTGGCTATGTAAATATACTTCCTTGCTATATTTTGCAACCTTTTAGATTCAGTGTTGACAATCATTCTTTTGGCAGTGTCAAAGTTCCCTTAGACTTGCAAATGCATTGGGTACGCTTTAAAGTACCATTTAAAACCATTTAAAAGTCATTTTTGATTATTTTGTTCTATGTGATTAATGCCATGCAGAATACTGTAGAAAGGAACAGGTGTGTGGAAACAATGTTTCTTAACTCATGGCAAACCTGCAAGTCCTTGCAAGTGTTACAACTCATCTGAGTGATGGTCAAACCAGAGATGGCATTTTATCCCAATTTATTTCAAATATATATGAATGTTCCTTGATTTTTTTAAATACTATTTCTTATGAAGGACTAGTTTTCTTCAGTGTTAGGGTTTTTAAAATATATTTGCCGATAGCGCTCAGCACACTAATGATCATGACAAAAAATTAGTTGTTATTATTATTATGGCCAACGTGCAAAGTTAAATATAATTTTAAAACAATGAATATATTAAATGCAAATATTGTAAAAATAAAATTAGAAAATCTTCCCAGTCATGTTAAACTATGTGACACCCTTAGGAAGATAAGCATGAATCAATAAATGTAAATTTATGTTTGCTATTGCTGAATACTGCTGAAAATTTTAAAATATAAATTGACAGAATTCTACTTTGATGACTTAGGTGAGATCCTGCTATTTTGCAGCAAAGAGCAGTAGTGATTAAGCAGTTTAACTACTCTTCCAGAGTCACATCTGAGATCTCTGTTAAAGGAGGGAGAATAAGACTGGTAACTATTTTGCTGTGCTTGGTGGTCAAAAAAAGATCTTGACAATTCAATATGTATGAAGCCCTGAAAGACAAGAAAATATAGCAAGAAATGTATATGATATTACACTTTACTAAAGTTTGCTTTGTGGCCAATATAATAAGAACAAGTAACTTTGTGTGCAGCACAATCCTGTACATGTGGATTGAGAAATAATATTCTTACAATAGGGCAACATGTTCAATTTAGTGAGCATCAATTTGCAGCTTAACATGGAAAATATTAGTTCATGAATAGCGGGAGTTCAAATATAGGTAATCCTAAACCAGGGGTGGGATCCAACAGGGTTAACTACCGGTTCGATGATTTATGAGGTTCAGTGATTTACGATGTGCTTCCCTGCATGCTGAGCGCGCGCCTGTAAATCGTCATCGGCCTGGTGCCTGGACAACTGAGCAGCGCTGCGTGCTGAGAAGCAGCCTTTGAAAAAGTATTTTTTGCCTGCTTTTTAAACTGCAGCTGTGCCTCTCACAGCAGCGGAAGTTGAAAAAGCAGGAAATAAAGGTAAGGTAAGAGCCTGGGCTGGCAGGTAGGCAAAAACATCAGCAGACATAGAACCGGTTCTATGCTGCTCTTCAGAGCTACCGGTTCTACAGAGGTGGACAGAACCGGTAGAAACCCACCCCTGTCCTCAACCTACAACCGTTTTTTTAGTGACCATTCAAAATTACAACTGCACTGAAAAAGTGACTTATGACCATTTTTCATACTTATGACCATTGCAGCATCCCCATGGTCACACAATGAAAATTCAGATGTTTGGCAACTGACTCATATTTATGATGGTTGCAGCATCTGGGTATCATGTGACCTTCTGATAAGCAAATTTCAATGGGGAAGCCAGATTCACTTAATAACCGGTTACTAACTTAACAACTGCAGTGATTCTCTTAACAAATGTGGCAAGAAAGGTCATAAAATGGGACAAAATTCACTTAACAACTGTCATACTTAGCAACAGAAATGTTGGGCTCAGTTGCGGTTATAAGTTGAGGACTACCCATAATTTTTAATTTAATTTAGTGTGGAGACTGATATCAAGGTCATATTTAATGTGATCCAAAATTCAGTTAATGTGAGGTTACTGCATGCATAATTGAGGATAAGGCATGCACACTTGAGGTTGGGGTTTTAGATGGTGCTAATGTTTGTTTATGCAAATGGGAAAAAGGGAAGATTTTGTCAGAGAAAAATAGTACAAGTTTTTAATAGAAAAGGCTTGTTTTTTTCCCATTGAAGTATCACTTTGAATAGCGAACAGTGCAAATTCAAATAATATGACTATTTTATGAAATTCATTGACTGCACTAATTGAGACTTATTTGAAATTTATAATGGCAAAATAAGCATTAGCACTTACCTTGGCTTTACAAAGCTACTCAGATCCAGAACTTTTGTGTTATTTTACATGAGTTTAGGGGGTGGGGGGGAATAGTTCTAAGTCAAAATAACATGAAAAGAGAGCCAACCTGTTAAACCACCAGCCAGCTTGATCTTCTTCAGCACAATTCCTTTCATAATTGTCATTATCTCTGTCTTTGGTACTGAATTTCATCCCTTGATGATTTGCCCACCATTTAACTTCAGGGTGAAACCCCCCAGTGAGAGAGTCACCAGCTGTTCCAGAATATTGACCACAATTCATCTTGTAGGAATTCTAGCAAAGAAGATGAGAAAAGGAGTTAGAGAATTGTATAATTGGAATTCCTGTCTAGCATTTAAGAGATATCTTCAAAAAGATGAATAAGAAACTTTGTCCACAAAAAAAAACAATTGAAAATGCAAAGGCTTCATTCATATGGTTTCATTTAACAACCAAGATTAGATACATGTATAGCATAGGGGATTTCCCAGTTTTAAGGATTTGTGCCTACAAGGGAGTTGAGCATATTATTCTGTATTGATTTTTTTTAATGCTGGAGTCAACAATTAAAGAATTTTGCATATCGTGAATTCCCATGATTTTAAATTTGAAAATTGGGAGGGGTATAGTGTGTTTTTAGTTAATTGGGTGGGTAATCTATTTTCTGAGGTTGATTTTGTTATCTGTGATTGCCAAAAGTTTGAAAGCTTACTGCCTTTGAAATTGAAATGCTAATTAAAAATAGTATTTACTCCTCTGTTTCTTAACATAATATGAATGAAGATCATTTTCTCATGGGGACTCTGTGAAATTGGTTAGATAAGAGAATGTTTTCCTTCAGAGATCTTACGAACCCTCTTGTTATACATTCTTGACTGCCCACAATTAATGATGTTCACAGCTGAATGGAGATCACTTAGCCTAACACACTAAAACACACACACACACATACAACACACACACACTCATACACACCCAGAATGATACAACATTTGTAAAAATACTGACTTTCTTATGCTGTGTATTTGGAATTCCAAGTTCTAATGAAGCTACTTCTACTACCTGCTCATCTGCAACTCGAAACTTTTCATACTGTGCAAAACGCTGTTCATCCATAAAGTCAGACAAATCGATCCTCAAGGTATAATTCTCTGAATTGAAAAGAACAAATGAAGGTGCAATATTCAGAAGAGAAGAAGGGAGAACTTCCATTCAATTCACAGCAGGCATTGAGAGAATTCAGATACAGTGGCTAACTGCTCTTTTTTTTTTAGCAGCTTGAGCTTCCTGTTGCTTAGCATGATATTGATAATACTTTGATTAATCATGGCAGGTTAATGTGGAATTTCGTTGAAAATTTATTATCCATTATTAAAAATAAATTTATTACATAATTGTAATCAGAGATCTTGCCCTTTACACTTGGGAACTCAGCATTTTGGTATAATGCACTAGTGATACCTAACCATGTATTTAACACCTGAATTATATTAAGAGTGTGTGGTGCTTTGCTTTGTTCTGACTGTGGGGCAAGCTATTCAGACCTCACAATCAGAACAAGCAAAGAACTATACATATACACAGACACAGTCAGATCAAAGAACCTCCTCACCTCCACCCCCACCCCCACTTATGTCCTGTGTTTACACATCCCAGGCTTGAAATTAGCTCTTGGATTATCAGACTAAACACCATTTACAACTGAAATGCCCAGTATTTTGAGAAATTCTCTCTTGTCTGCGTAGGAGAAAACAGTGGGAAGCTTTCCTTCACTATAATTCTAGACTGATAAGAGTTTGTAGATGTGGCTGTGATTTCCACTTGCCAGTAAGTGTTGTTTCTCTTTTCTGTATCAAATTGTTCGGTGTCCAGAACAGATATTTTAAAATATGCAAATTGTAATAATCACAACTGAGATTATTCTATAAGAACCAGCAAATATATGAATAAAATGCTGGAGATTTGTGGGGTATTTTTAAAAACAAAATAACCACTTTACCTAAAGTAGCTTTTATTAGGTCTGTCCTCTAATTCTGCTGGACCACAATCCCATCATCTAGATCAGGAGTCTGCAACCTGTGGCTCTGGAGCCACATGCGGCTCTTTCAGCCCTCTGCTGCAGCTCCTTGTCGGTTGATCCCACCACTGGCTGAAGGCATTCTTGAGGCCTAGATGTTCTCCCAGGGTGGGCTGGCTCCTTGCTGGATTTCTTTATATATGTCTTTTTGAGTTGGCTGGATTTATCATCCTGGTGTTTTATTTGTAGCTTTTTTATTTATTTATCTTGTGTCTGTTGTCTTCCTTTTTCTTATTCATATTGTAATTTTTTGTCTATTACATTGTGAGCTGCCCATAGTCATCTGGAGTTGGGTGGCATCTAAATCGAATGAATTATATAAATGTATTCCCTGAGATATCACTATATCAGAATGTTTCTAAGACTGTTAACAAACTCAGCAATAAATCACACTCAGAGACACCTTATTTTGTACTAATTGTGAAGAAATCCTATTGAGTACTGGCCTTCCTGCTCATTGTTGCAAAATCAATAAATCCCTTATTATTGGTTTTGGTTTGTTTCTAATAAACTATTGTGTTTTTCTTACCCTGGGAAGTCAGATAATGAAGGTTTTTATTCCCAAGCCAGTATTCTCCATTTCCTGAAGTAAAATCTCCAAAACCCTGCTCATATTCAGTCCAATTTCTGGAAAAAAGATTAAAATCTCTGATCTGTATAAATCACAAGTGGCTTTAAAACAGTTTGTGCAGTTCTGTAACAATTACAAATTACAAACATATATTTGGTTTCTAGGCAAAAAAGCAAAGGAAATTCAATTCATTTTATAGATTTACTTTCTATTATGATCAATGACTACAAGGATTTGATTGCAATTTCAGGTCCTCCAACAATAACAATCAATAAACTTTATTATACTCTCAAAGCAAAATCATTATGCTACTTCTGTTTAAAATAACAAGAAATATAGATCTGATTAATAAATACCGCTTTTATGGTTTTTGAAGCTTTTAAAATAATCACTATATAATGGTTTTAGGAAATTATTACTTTATAGTCTTTCTGTTTAGTGGATTGTTGTACACTGCTCAGAGTCACTTTCCATGAAATGGGCAGCTGTATTAACATAATAAAGAAATAAATTTTAAATAAAAATTCATTAAATCAGTGTGAATAAAAGAGAAGACCACTGGTTTCTATCTTCCTATACTTTTTCCTCCTCAGTGTAACAGTGTCTTACTCAGCAAACCACCAAAAGGAATTTATCGCATGAGTTTACAGTCTTTATCTGGAAATAAATTAGTTATCTAAGATTCAGCAAGGGCACCTGGATATTTTTGGTATTTGGGGGAATTTCAGGCCTAGCTCTTTGTGTCCATGCAATTTTTTCGTGCATTTAATTAAAAAAAACTATCAAGTCTTGATTCTACAGTAAACTATATCTTAACTAACAACCATTTTAAAAGTTGGACTGAGCTATATTAGTCTGAGCATACATTTTTTTACAAAAGATACGTTTTCATTTTTATCCATAAGAATTGGACATTCTAAATTAATTTTGTTTCAAAAATAACAAGCCTGTGAGATGAATCTAGGGATTTTAATCTGTTTAACCAAAACTTTACCTATTACATCTTACCTATTATATTTTATTTAATGAAAATCTTATCACTCCCACCAACACTGATAGAGCAAGCCATTGGTATATAAAAATAAGACCAAGCTGCACTCCCTAGTAGCACTGATGATGTTATCTAGTTTGGTAATGAAATGTCTTCAAAAAAGCAACCAGGTTTAGAGAGCACCAAGGACTTCATAGTTCAACCCTGAACTACAAATATTCTCTTCTTACCTATTAAAATTTTGACTCCCATCTGACCGTCTCTGAAAGATTGTCCACCCACCTCCTTCTGTCATATCACAGTAGGCAAAGAATCCACTGGGGCTCTTCAGAGGTTTTATCTTGTAAAATCCATTTTGTGTATGACCAGCATGATAGATCTCAGCACAATCTGAATCATGGTACAACATCAATGGGTTTAAATAATACAGTTCAGTCATATCCTCCTTCTATAAAATATTACATAATATACCTATACAACTTTTAATTTAATGAGGAAAATGCCATTCATATATCATATTCCAAAGTGTCCTATTTATTCTTTTTCTGTGCCTTTTTTGTTACATAATATTAAACATTGAACAATAAAGGAAATCCATACAATGAAGGATGTATTTATTTAATTCTAGTCACCATTTATAAATACATATCACATGTATTTGGATTTATGAAAAAAAAAATTTGGAAAAAAATATTGAATATGTTTAAAATAGTCTTCTTGAGGTCACATATGCATACATATATGTATTTTTGTCCTTCCCAACCCCCTGGATTATTTTTATGTTCAACAGTAAAATCTTTAAAGTGTTTGATTAAAAAAATAACAGCAATAAGAGGCAGCAAAACAAAACAAAATGGGATTGCACTTCCATTAGCTTAGAAAAAATTGATCGTGCCTGATCTAAAGAATTGCTAAGTGTCTTCTAAAATGGTATAGTTGGCAAATCCATATCTCTTTGGCTTAATATTGGTCATAGTTAATCTTCAAAAGTAAATTATAACCAATGATATTGATTCTGTATGTGAGTAGATTGGATAACTTTGCATACTTTTACCATAAGGAGTGGAAGATGAATTAGTGTTGGGAGAAATAGGGAACAAAATAGACATAAAATGTTAATAAATGCTGACCTTTTCCATCAGACAAAGGGTGAGCTATCCCATCATGGCCTGATAGCAAAAGGATCATAAGGCAGAACTAAGGAAATACTTATCAGAGACTGTTCTAGCATCGAACAGTCAGAAGCAATGATTTTAATAGAACCTAGTTGCTTCTTCACTGAACCATTCAATGATAGAACACAAAACTTATGCAAATTGGCTAGAATGACTACTAGTTACTTGCTGAAACTGCATTCAATTCAAATATAGAACTAAAGTTTGAGTTAGTCCATACTATAATGCTTAGCCAGCCTTCATTAACTGTCTTGGTTAATCTTGTTCAATGTTCTGCCTTGGCTGAACCATTGGTTTTTGAAAGCTACTGGAAAAATTCAAGATATATAATTTAACATTTAAATAAGTAATGTAAAACAGACCTGCAAAAATACACATCCTGCAAATATTTTTTACAGTTATTACCAGCTCACTTTTGTTTCAGTCAATGATTGATGGCAAACATGTCAAAAATCTACTTCACTCTTTATATGCCACTTCCCTAGTCAAACTTAATATTAATATTCTTCAGTTTCTTAAGGTTGTACCATGCTACATGGTTTTCAACAGTTTCAAACTTGAAATCCAAGTTTCAGTATATGCCAGAATTTAGCATGAAGAAAATTCTAATAACCAAATACCGATGTACAGCACAATGTGAATCACATTTACTAAATTACATGAAAATACTCCTCAGTAAGTGCACTTAATTAATTAATGTGTTAATTAATTTTGATCGTTATGCCAACCTGTTATGTTTTACTACAGTTGATGCAACATCCAAACTGAGAAATAATGTCTGATGGAATATTACATGAGAAACCATGATATGAAGTTTATTATGATATGGGTTGATGACTACATGGACAGCAATGTGTGTTTGTGTGTATGCATGCACAATGGCTTAGCAGTTAGTTGGAAACAGTGTTTCATGTGCCTCAGCATACAGTCAGGCTGGCAACAGAACCATGGAAATGTCTTCAGCTAAGAAACAAAGATAAGCACTGCCCCCTAGAATCAGACACACTGGAAAGGGGAAACCTTTATTTTTACCTATGCCCGCCCATACATACGTACATACATACATACATACATACATACAGTATTCACTGTATATAGTTGAAAAGTTGAAATGACAGCAAGCAAACAATTCAAAGCTGGTGGTTCTATGTAAAGTTTAGAAGTTGAAGGCATGGAATGGATTCTAAATTTTGATCATCCCTCAGGTTTGTAAAATGAATGATTTGAGCCCACCTGAAGAACAAAGATGACATTTATTTCTAACCTTTGTAGTTAGTTTCTTCTCCCAGATTGATAACAGTGTTTTCCCCTTCTTTATCTCTGCTCTGTATATCTCTCTCTATTAAGAGGTTCACAATTCTTGCCTGTTGTTGCTTCACACTGTGTTCCAGAAGTCTCACTTGGGCCTGGAGTCTCAGCTGCTCTTGGAAACAACTTCCTACAGTCTTCAGGAAGAAGAGGAAAGACATGGGGCTCATCAGTGAGTTGCTAAGTACTGCAATGTCAGTTCATAATCAGTTCCTACAAAATCCTATTACATTCAGATAATATGGAATGTGTTTTTTAAGTTTTTGTTTATGGCTCCTAGTCATTTAGGAAAACTGAATGGGACAGATTTGCTTTGGTGCCTATGAAACAAATATAGAGCGAAAATACCTGCGGGATTTTCAAGATATATAGAATAATATGTCGTAGAAAGCCCTCTCTTGACTCTGTTTTTAAAAAGTGTCAAAAGAATTTCAAAAGGGTTCAATCGATATCAAGTAAAATAATAAAATAACCAGGGTGTACAACATCCCCTTATTTTTGTTATTCTAAATAAAAATGTTGATAAATGACATACATTCTCCAATTGTCATGTTTGCTCTGTGCTGTTTTTCTCACATTTAATTGATGCTGATTCAGAACATAATTAGAGTATATTCTGGAGATAGAGAAATTTTTGGCACCAAATAAAAGGCATTTGTGAATAACTGGTGGATTGTTATCACTAAAATGGGCATTGTAAGGAATTTCATAGACATGCTTTGAAGACAATTGAGGAATGAGGTATGAATCATTATGTGTGCATATTGGAGTGCCTAATATCAGAACCTGATCTGAATAATACTTAATTAAGCAGATTTCCTAAGTATAGAAAAAAATATTTATTTATGGGAAATTCTTCATATGGATAAACCAATCCTAGGACCTACATTCTACCAGATGGAAGGTCAAAAATAATGTTGTCTGTGCCTGGAAAGAAAGGCAGAAAGGAATGACATGAGATTAGCAATTAGACAAGTCGAGACAAAGAGAAGAAAGAGAAGAGATGAAGGCACATCCACCCAGCTGTATTCCCAATCCAAGGCCATCAGGAAATCATGCCACTCCAAATCCTATTCACACAGACTCCTGAAATGGGTGTCTGCTGCATTAGTATCCATTCAACTTCAACACACAATATTCCAAAGACCCTTCAACACCATCTACCATATGAAAAGCCTCCTCTAATTGCTATGTACAACCTTGCAACTGTTCTTTATACGCAGTAATTATTTTCTCCAGTGATTACCCATTAACAGAACCTTTAAAAAAAGAACCTTTATAAGGTAGCAGCAATCAATGTTTTATATATCTAGGCCACCATTCAGTGGTCATTTGAGTTCTGAAATGCAGCTGCTGGAGCCACATTGAGTATGCAGGTTTCCTGTAAGGATCGGTGTGGGAGTTGCGAAGTGCAGGCATTGTGAAGGGAATGTCCTACCACAAAAGTCATAAAAGCACAAGAATGGATCTTTTTTATTAGAACTATAGTTTCATTTGCGTGCACTTAGCCAGGGAGTAGGTCAACCAAAATGACATGTCAACCTTCCCATTTAAAAAAGAGGAAAAAAGTGGCTATGAAGCTGGGGTTCCGATCTCTCTCATAGCCAAGTAAAGGTGCTGAGTCTAGCATACAGGATAGAAAAAGCTTCCTAAGCAGGACCAATTGCGACCAACACTGCACCTCCAACCATATCATCTTATTTTTTTTCTCCCACATGCCACAGAGATTCTTACAACTAGACAGTTATATAAAAAGGAAACATGTCTTACAGAATGGGGGATCTCAATTCACTTCTGATCAGCCTCAGCTGTGAACTGACAGTAAGATAAAGGTGTTAATCTGAGGACATGTCCTTTGGAAACACTGGTGTGCTCTTGTATCAGGGCAATATGGATACAGACATAGAGTAAATCTAACCCTCTTCCCCAATTATGGCTAGTAAGTTGTAAGTTGCTTAACAGTTAGTACTATTGGATCACTGCCAGCATTCCCAAGTCATATTCTAGTTTTCTCCAGGATCCCTGCACTACATTTTGAAAATATTGATTTTAAAAGGGGGAAACTAGAATACTACACAACAAAAGCCTCATGCGTCATCTGTATTTCCAATAACCTAACTAGTCTGCCTCTTGCTAATTTAGGAACTGACCATACCAGTTATGGAGCATGCCTCAATATTCTCTAAAAATTCCAAATATGCCCACAGGACCAAAAACACCAGACTCTGGCTTACATTATTATTTTTCAGTTCCAACATCTGCACTGGAAATTCTGGAAATTGAAAAAAATGACATACTATGCCAAAGGTGCTTTGCTTTAATTTATGCAAATACTGTATATATTTATCATGTTCAAAATCACATTAGTCTGTTAATGTTCCCTTTCTATTAATATGACAACAGCAGAAATTATTTTCTTATAACTGCATTTGACATTCGTCAGTTTAAAACATAAGCCTTCCCATCATTCAACTTAATTAAGTTTGGTGTGGACTTAAAGGTAGGTAATTACCACAGCCATACTACTATTATATACATACTATTATTTGTGGTAAAAGAGAGGATTAATCTGGGGCTAGGCTTTTTTCCTCCTTTTTTTGCATTCTACGAGACATAATTCAGGGTTGTTGACTAACAGCCGGAAATGAACTAGATGGAAAGGCAGCGGTGGGTGAATATGTAAGACTGGTAACAAGAAAATTAAGTCATTATTTTTAAACCAAGTTCTTCTCATCTTTGGTGTTCATTTCTAGGCTGTGTTAAATAAGCATTTGTAGCTCAAGGCATATTGACTCTGGATCAAAATGGAGTGCATATTCACTGTTTAAATATTTGGGTTGCATTTTAGATTTTTTTTGTTTTTCATTTAATTCCTGCTGTTCAGTGCAATCCAATCTACAGTGGTAGAAAATATGTGCTGAGATTAGGCAGCTAGTCAGAAAAGCATCCTGGAGGGACGGGCACAATGACAGTCTAAAGGAGCTTCGCTAATGCTCTAATAATCAGTATAAAAGGCAGTTTTCCTGTGGCTAACTGTGTTGCTGGAACAAGTTTTTTTGTGATGGAGGAGAAAATGCAGAGAGAGGAATACCCTGTGGTAAAAGTCAGGGTGGGATTCTACCAGTTCGCACCTATTCGTTAGAACTGGTTGTTAACATTCTAAGCAGTTTGGAGAACTGGTTGTTAGAAGAAATTACTGGCCTAATCCTGTAAGGAAGGCAGGAAGGAAACATTCTGGTGTTGCTTACAGAAACTGCCTCTCCATTAACCCTTATTACATTCTTGGCAGGACTTCCTGTCTCAGGAACTTCTCTGGAGTTTTTTTCCCTTTCTTTGCTGGTACTTTGCTTGTGTGGAGTGACCATTCAAAGTTACAATGGCACTGAAAAAAGTGACTTTTGACCATTTTTCATACTTACGACTGTTGCAGCATCCCGACAGTCATGAGAGGCCAGGCGAGGAGATACATACCTTGTTGTGAGTGATATTGAGTTGGCCACGCCCAGCCAATAACATGACCACCAAGCCATGTCCACCACCTAAGCCACTCCCACAGAACTGGTTGTTAAAATTTTTGAATCCCACCCCTGGTAAAAGTGTCATTCTTCCATCTCTTAATGTACTTTTGTCACTAGAGAAAAAGATGGAGACAGCTTCGAGAAAATAGGCAAGCATGCAGCCCCTAAAAATGAAAGTCAATAAATACTTATCTGAAAGCATTCCTAGTCTAATGAAACAGGAAATTGACTTTTTCCTATTTAACGACAGGTTGGGAACCCATGAGCTTCGTGCCAGAAAGAACTATTTTAAACAGAAAATAGATCTCTTCAATTCTCAAGTCTGGGATAAGAATGCCAAAATTGAAAGAAAATTCCCAGGAAATGAATTTTGGGACTGATCTATGATTGTTCTGTTACGCATTTGAAAATTTTATATGATCATATCTGTTACATAAAATAATCCTATATGGCTAGCAAACAGATAAACAATAAAAATACCAAATTAAAACTCTTAATACATCACCAGCATTATAACAGTAACCTCACAAACATACACACACACACACACACACACACACACACACAATTGTAGGAAGTTAGCACTCAACCCTCTCCTAGAAAATTGAAATATCCTCGGAAATATTAAAAAGGCAGAATGTTTCCCTAAAAAGAGTAGAAACTCAAGAGAAGAAACACCTCAGAAGCAGAAGCTCACCTCCACCTTTGTTAATGGGTGGGCCATTAAGGCCTGGGCCAGAATACTTTACATAACAAAGATCTCCAGTTAAAGCTATAGCAATTGCCAAAAGCCCTTTTCAGTGCATCATTATCCAGCAAGGCTCAACCAAACCTGGAACTCAGGACAGCCTTCAGAGTTGCCTCTGCATGGCCCCATGGGAATCTGACAACCAATCAGAATACAAGCTCCAATTCAAATCCCAACAAAGGTTATAAAACCCAGGCACTCTCAACATATTAGCCCTTTTTTCCTTCTCTTTTCCTTCACCTTGGAGCATGTGATCATCCTTCTTTGGAGCTTCAAGCCATGTGGCCCTGTCCACCATTAAACCATCTTTCCAAGTAGCCTCCATGTTTCCAGTGTCTTTTTCCCCATTTGGAACTGAATCCAGAAGGATAATTCTTCCAAAACAGTATACACATATAGACTAATATATTAGTTGGTCTAAGTCAGGGTTGTCCAATCTTAGCAACTTTTAAGACTTGTGAACGTCAATTCCTAGAATTCCCCAGCTCAGCATCCCTCTGTAGTTGCTAGCTGATTATGGGTCTAGCCTTTAAATGTTGCTTAGTGGGATTTTTAAAAACACACATGCTCCCTACATTGACTGTCCAACTGTAAAATATCCAAGGAAGCAGGAGCATTTTGATCTTTCGTTCTTAAATATGAGCTTAACACATTAAAAATCTTTTTCTTAGAATGCAACTGAAGATTGAAAAGATAGTGATGATTTTTTTTTTAACTGCAAGTAATTTCCACCTGAAACAAGAGGTGGAATATCCAGTTTTTACATGAAAGTTATCATATCACTTCCTCCCCACACTGTCTATCCTCAGTCACTTTTCTCCTTGCTCACTTGTGATTCAGGAAATAAGATTGGCTGGTAAAATAGTTTGATGTGCTCCGTGGAAGTAAATTGCTAGAGACAAATTAGAAAGTACAACTTATCATGTTATGTCAGCCTCAGTCTTCAATTTGCCGTGAAATGCATATTTGGCAATAACAAACTTAAATAAAATCACATTCCTGAGTTTCTCATCCCACTCTCAGTTTTATAGTGGATGGGTGGATGGAAGGAAGGAAGGAAGGAAGGAAGGAAGGATGGAAGGAAGGAAGGAAGGAAGGAAGGAAGGAAGGAAGGAAGGAAGGAAGGAAGGAAGGAAGGAAGGA